TGTAGTGATTTCATATTGATGTGATGACATCATTATTAAATTATTCTACATTAATTCACTATGAAACAACATGAAGCAGTTGACATTTAAATACAATTATTAATAATTGAGTCTCCTATTCGTCCCACGATGATGAAATTTACAGTGTGAGTTTTTGCATCCGACACAGAATGCCACACAGGAGGCGCCGTGGTTTCCTCCGCTGGGAGTCAAACCCAAGACTCTCTGTTTTTTTTCATTTTTTCATTCATTTTTTCCACCCAAGATGAACAGGAATTTAGGCCTGTCCACATCTCTGGACAAATGTCCTATAGAAACATCTGTCATGTTCTCTGGACCTGAGTCTACTATCAAACATTTCTACTAAAAGTGTTTTGTCGTTTGTTTTTTGCTAAATTTGAGAATTTTTCATTTTTTCATTCATTTTTTCCATTTTTTTTTGCTAAATTTGAGAAAAACTACTACATGTTTTAAAGGTGTCCCTGCAGATAAGAGCTTCACATGAAGACACATTTCAGATCTTCTTATAAAATTCCATCACCATCTTCCGCTAACATTCTACTTTTCATTTCAATCGTTCTCCAGATTTCTGATTTCCTCCTGGCGTGGCTCGTCCATGCTCTCGTGTTGACCAGCACCTGAGACGCAGCCCGTCCAGGCTTCAGGGCCAATGTTGCTCTAAATCTTTTTCGCCTTAAAGATCTTTTTTTTTTTTTTTTTAAACCTGACAGCTCAGACGCTCAAAGGTCAGGAAAAGAGACAGTGAGAATGTCAGCGAGCGACTGAAGATGTTAGATGGAGGATATAAAAATAATTCTGTCCTGATAACATTTTGTATTGTCCATTTAAAGACACGGTACGGCGGCTCCTCCTTCCTGTAAACCCCTGCGTGAATTCAACACAAGGGAGAATGAAATACAGCGCATGGGAACGTGGAATCGTACATCACGTGGTAAAAGAGTGAGAGACAGATATTATGGCTTCACGGCTTATATATTCATCGACTTAGTTAATATTTCATAGCGCTTTAAAACCTCCTTCTCTAAATTGTCCTCCGTTCTTGGCAATGATAATTTAAATGCAGGGGAGCCCCAGAGTGTGTCACCGCTGTGTCACAGCCTACATGTAAATTATATGTGCATGTGAGCACATATGTATGCACGCAGGCACTCGCACACACGCCATAAAGACACATAAAAGAAATTAAAAACGAGAGGGCGATACTCGCTCAGTGAAGGAGCTAAATGCANAAAAACACTTCATTTTAAAAATTCATAAAATTCTTTAGGTTCAGTGGTTTTTATCTGCCAATTTAGCAACACTCTGAGACCGAGCGCATTCACACCTACTGACAAGCAACAGTTATTTTCTATCTCCAAAATGCAAATGTGACCAGAGGCTTGGCATCTGCCTGAGGGCTCAGTCGGCTGACAGTATGCATCCTGGGGAGTGATCTATTGATCCATATTCAATATCTGCTACACTCTCCTGCTCAGAAAAGTTGGGAGATGAATAAATAAGCAGCCAAACTGACAGTACATCCAAGTTCCCTGGTGCCTCAGAGGACTGAGTAGCTGCTGTCTAAATGGTTTTTTTTTTGCTCACCGCAGTGAAGAAATGCCCTAGGAAATAAAAACAACAAAAAAAAAACAGGTAGGCTAATGGCCGGGTGCAGGATGTGAGCGGGGTTGGACTTTATGGACACAGTAATGAAAAAATGCAAATAATTACATGGAGCTTCAAAAACAACGTGACATTGGAGAAATCGGTTAGTGAGTCAGAGCGAGGAGCAGGAGGAAGGCGAGGGTTGTCACCCGCCGTCCGTCTTTCATCTCTAACAAGGACTGAAATCTACAGAAACACAGAGAGCGACAACCAGCCCCGGCTAACGCCGCTCTCCTCCTTTCACATTATCCTTTTCACTTGGCTCCCCGGCTCGTCGTCTGTCACCCTCACGTCTGCGTCACCGTGTTTTGTGCTCCTGCCTCGGTCACACCTGTTGTGCTTTCAGACACACTTTCCTTACACACGGCGCCCCCGCCTGGAGCTCTGCACCTCAGATTTGACACAAATATCCACCATAAAACCACAACACCGAATCAAACCGACAGAACTTCACACTGACACACCTTCAGACCTGAGAGAATGATTGACGGCGTCAAAGCCGATGTGACTCTTCCAGAGAAGGATGTTACCTTGTTTTAGAAATTCTTCAGTTAAACCTTCAATATTTGAACGGCAGACGGCATACTGTGATTAAATTATTAACGGGATGTAGTGATTTGATTTGTGAAAAGGTCAAATGCAAAGTAGGATCGGGGAAACAACGGTGTGCGTGTGTGTCTGTGTGTCTGTGTTCATTTTTTATACCTGTTAGTTTAGCTGTTAGTTCTGGTTGAACTTGTATTTGTGTCAGAATCAATAATAATAATAATAATTTATTTTTCCTCCTCCAATTCAAATACGCTTTGACTTAACCTAAAAATCTGAACATGTTGTTATGATAATTTTAAAAAAGTTACTTTAATTCATAAATTCTCACCCACACATTATTAGTTAAAAAAAGGCACAAACGACTGTCATCAAGTGTCAGCGCTGGTTTAGAAACATCATCTTTGTTTACTTGTCTTGTGTTTTGTGACACTTTTTAAATTTTTTTTAAAATTATTTTTATCATCTTTGTTTACTTGTCTTGTGTTTGTGACGCTTTGGAATTAAATTTTTTTTTATTATTATTTTCGCACATTTAAAATATGTTTAACTTTTAGAAACATATTGGTGATACTGCAACGCTGTTTGTTTTATTGTTTCTGTGTCTTTCACAGCTGTTTCAACTTGACTTGTTTATTAACTACGACAGGTTCCGTTTCAGCAAAATAGAGAAAAATACGTTTTTGTGATTAATCTGATTAAAACGCCGTGGTTTGAAATGAAAATACATACTGAGATGTATACGTTTCTGTTTTCCTTTAACAACAACCAACCGTCTCTCACGTGTATTTGTAACAGGTCTTGTTCGCGATGGCCGCCATGTTGGGTCACAGCGTTGAATCCGTAGTTTCTGTTTGAACGATTTCTGAAGATTACAGCATGTTTTTTTTTTTACAACGGACTGAAACAGTAACGGAGGAAATCAAAGGAGCAGGATATTCAACCACAACATGTAACGTCACATGTCGAGTCCTTTCACGGTGTATGATAAATAACCATGATGCACCTTTAATAATTCATAAAAACGCAGTGTCGTAAAATCTTACATTTGCCTCCACTTTCTTCTTCTTCTTCTTCTTCTACTAAATGTAATATTGGATGCTACTCATTTTGCTGACTCTTTAGGACCGAGCTCCTGAGAAGACGACAGTCTGTTTGTGTCTGTGTCTGTGATTAAATTAAAGGGGAGATAATCAGCTATTTGTACCAACTGTTTGATACACACTCAACAGGAAGCCCTCCTCCCCCTCCTCACCTCCCCACCTCCCCCTCTTCAGCAGTGGGTGCTAATAAACCTAGGTGTTACTTCCTTATTGTGTTGTGCAAGTTAATGATTATGTTTATTTATTTATTTATTTTCTGTACAATTTATAAATCATTTCAAGTAGAAATTAATACATTAAAATGGCCGAATGATCAAAACTATAAAACTGAAAAATTGCATTTAATTTAAGGCAGTGATGACTTTTGTATCAAATTCAAATTTAAATATTTGGTCACTCAGTTATTAGGGGTGTACGGCTCTACACAAACGTTCTGCTCTGTATTTATGTAGCCAAACAAAAAAAAAACATTTTTGAATATTGTAGAAAACTGGACTAATGTGAAATTAAATTGTAATGAAGAGTTCCATTCTCACACACCAAAGCCTTAAAAATTAAAGTTTATAGCGCCCTCTGCAGGGAAGGGGAGATTATGCGTAAGTGGACTTTTTTTTTTCCTCTTGCTTTTCTTTTTATATTATTTCATAGAGTAACTTATAATAAACATCTTACTACAGTTTATGGTTAATTTGTTTAATAAAGGACTTTTAGACGCTACAAATGAATAAAAGTCATCACTCTGTGTGTGTGTGTGTGAGTGTGTGTGTGTGTGTGTGTGAATGATGGAGGGCGGGGGCGCGGTTGCAGGCAGACGCTAAGGATGAAGACCGCGACTGAATTTACAACAAGTGAGTGAACTGTTGCTCCGGAGTCGCTCTTCACCGGGAAGTCGAGTCTGTTGTGGAAATATGTGATTTCACCCGCAGGAAGAACCGACAAACACCGGTACTCTTACAAACCGACACAGTACTTCTCCGGTCGCTGCTCTTTGAACCAAACGGAGCTTTAAGTTCTAAATTCAGAGTGACTTACTTCTGCCGGAAGTGTTGGAGCGTCTCGACAGTGTTTGGATTTTTTTCTCTCTCTTTTTATCCTTGTGTCGGAGCAGTTTTCCAGAAGCCTTTTCATCCATCCATTCGTCCATCCATTCGTTCGTCCATCCTCCTGTTAATCCGCACCCGCAGCGACGGACTGAACACGGAGTGAGGAGAAAACAGGAACAGAAAACAAACCAGGGTGAGATCGTTAATATCTGCAAGAAAAAGTTTGTCTGCTAGATCGTTATTGTTGTTGTTGTTTTTTTTTTAAGGTTCAGTTCATCTGGAGGAATATTTGTGTTATTAAAAAAAACAGTTTAAGTTCACAGTACGGTGGATTAGAAAAACTTATTTTTAATATCAATAATAATCCTACTAATCCCAGTAATTATTGATAAATGTTTGTGGAACACGTTGGATTTGTTATGTTTTTGGGTGTTTTTTTTTTGTTTTTTTTTTGCATTGATACATTATAAGTGAAATGTTTCAAAAGATATAAAATGTTTGTTAAATATCAGTGTTCAAATAGAAAAAAAAAACTCATTGTTATTTATAAAGAATATTTTTATGTTGTTATATAATAAAACTATTCTTTTTTTAGTAATAACAGAGCTTGTAGAAGTAACATTAATATTCCAGCGTTGTTATATTTTCTTGTGTATTTAAAGTTTTGATGAAAACAACAATAATTATTTATTGATATAAAGGTTGTTTTGTTTTTCTTTTCTTCGTCTTCATCTTCCTCCTGATTTTCCATTCTTCTTCTGTTCTTTATGGCGTGTTAACGCTTCTATCTGTTACTCCTGGCTTTATTGTGTGTGTGTTATGTTTTATACTTCTAGGCTACCACACAATTGACCAGTTGGCTGTGACGCCGATATAAACGCTTCCTTCCTGAGCCCGTGCCGCCGTCAGGAAAAGAGTTTCCAGCCGCGCTGCAGTTTGGCCTGCTGCTCCTTCTCAGTGTGCCTTTTTATGACCTATAACAAATTTATATTTTGAATAGAAGAGTAGACTGCTGCGGCAAATCAAATCCTGGCTTCTTTAGAGAGTGGACACATATAGGAGGCTCGGGCCGTGACCTTATCAACAAGGACACACAGAGAGACAGAGAGAGAGAGAAGGAAACAAAAGACAAGCGGAGAGACTCGTCCGTTTCTCTGCTCTTCGCGTCTCATTCTCCAACAGACAACCAACAACCAGAGCCCACTTTCTTGAATGTGGTGGGTGAGATGAACTCCAGTGGGAATATTGTAGACCCCACCTGACAGCTTTCTGCCTGAACAACTCAAAGCTTTCCTCCGGAGCAGCCAGAGGACCAGAGTCACTGAAGTAGTTTCACATCATTCTGTTATTTTACTGTAATGCTCGTTACTGGATGAAACGGTGGTGCACAGCTGTCGACAGGTTAACAGAGTGACTTGTTTAAAGTGGAAAACAGAACCCGAAGAAATGGAGATTCATATTATATTTGTCATCATTCCTGAGACGACTGAATAATAATTCCCAGCTCTTTAAAAAAAAAACAAAAACAAAAAAACCCAGCCTGTCCTGATCCAAGGAATCACACATTTCCACCCCTTTTCCCTCTGACCCACTAATTCAGAACCTTCCCGTCGACGTCCAGTAGTGACTTTTTTCGTCCCAGAGTTCAGCCTGGCCGGCACAACCATTCCAGCTAAGGGGGAGGAGGACTTCCTCACACTGGCCGCTTCACGGCTCAGCCGCAAGAAACGTGTCATCGGGGCTGGAGTCGGTGTGGCCATGGTTCTGGTCCTGCTGGTGGCCATTCCCCTATTGGTCCACACCACCAAAGGGGGTGGGTCTGGAGGAGGGGGCAACCATTACGAAATGCTAGGAAGCTGCAAAATGGTGTGTGACACTTTCACCCCCCCACAGGGGGAGCTGTCAGTTGTGTCCCCTCAGCCCCCAGACTTCCCAAACCGCAAGGGGAAACCAGGCTTTAGAGGAAGCCCTGGACTTCCTGGTCCTCCAGGCCCAAGAGGACCTCCTGGAGAGCCCGGTAAGCCTGGTCCACCTGGTCCCCCGGGGCCTGGACCTGGTGGCTACGGCTCCTCTTTCTACAGCCCCAAAATTGCCTTCTACGCGGGCCTCCGCAAACAACACGAAGGGAGTGAAATACTTAAGTTTGATGATGTGGTGACCAACGTGGGGAACTACTACGAGCCCAGCACTGGCAAGTTCACCTGCCCACTGCCAGGTATCTACTACTTCACCTACCACGTCCTGATGAGAGGTGGCGATGGAACCAGCATGTGGGCGGACCTGAAGAAGAACGGTCAGGTAGGAGGGACTTAGGTGCTTTCAACTGAGTCTGAAGTGTTTGTTTGTTGTTGGGTTTTTTTTTTTCAGCGTTAATGGAAAGTATCACATTCTAAAAAATAGAATTTATCAAAGTTAAAAACAACTTACAGAATTGTATTCAGATTCTACACATGGGACACTGTCAAATGTCCATTTAAATAGAAAAATAATATAGATTAAAAAATGTCAAACATAAGGCCTGCGGGCCAGAACCGGCCCACTTGAAACGTTTTGAAAGTATAAAAAGGACAAACACTTGAATGTGAGTATTTTTCTAATATATTTATACTTATTTGCATTAAAAAAGGGATAAAAACATGGATTTATAGATACTTATAGGTATTTCTGTTGTGATTGTACTGGCCCGGCCCATTTGACATCTGTCTTGGCTGCATTTGGACCATGGACCACAATGACTTTGACAGCCCTGGTCTAATGGATTGTGAGGGAGTGTGGACTGATTAACATTGTTGAAGACTCTCGTGCCTCAGTGACGACTCAAAATCCACCAACTCTGTGATAAATGGTTAATCATGACCAGTAACGAGAATCATGATTAATCATGATTAATCCACATCAGTAGACGTGGATTAATAGAAGAAGTAGAACTGATTATTCTGATTAAAAATCGACTGACAACGGTATGCAAATACAGTCGACGTCACTTTGGAATTCCTCTCCTGGGAATTCTCCTGACAGCACCGTAGTCAAATATCTGGGCAGAATCCAAGTGAGTTTCAGTAGGAAGAGCACAGGAGCGATGGGAATGATTTTTTCACACACAAACCAGGAACTTTCACCTGGAACCAACCAAGATCATCCTGCTGTTATAAACCCAAGTCACAACCCTTAACTGGACATTAGTAGAATTTTATGTCAGCAAACAATTATTGATCAGCACAAAAATTCACTGGCACTGCAGATACATTAACTCACTGTACATTTTATATATATATATATATATATAACGGATAAGCGGATGAAAATGGATGGAGGGATATATATATATATATATTGATAAATAGACTTTATTGATCCCAGGTTGGGAAATTGCAGAAGGTCTCAAGAATCCAATTTCCCCCAAAATTAGAACACGTTTATAAAGATAAATCAAATATTTGATGCACACAAATGAAAATGATCAAAATAAAAAAATCGTAAACTTTTCTCAAAAAATAAAATCAACGAAACCAAGTGAATACATGGAAGAGCACGGTGGTAATTAAACAGACAACTTGTGAGGAAAGGGAGAGCGAGTACGAGATTGACAGCCCAGCGTTCGGGATGATAACAATCCACCACATCTCAGTGGAACAAAACCAAAACGCAGCATCTGGCTACTGTCCTCCGAGGAACTCTGACTTCAACGCTAATAAATAAACAAGTGCAAACGGTTGCAAATAGCCTTGAACGCAGCCATCTGGAGATCTGTGACAAGCTTGAATTGCTAAGCCCTCGTTCTGTTGAGGTACCCTTATTCTGACATGTGTGCTACGGAACAGAGAAATTATATCCTGGGGATTAGAACTGGAGGAGAGAAGGGGGGGGGGGGGGGGGTTGCTTGCTTTGTAACAAGCCAAACAGAACCAAGCACTTGATACAAGAGTGGTTTCTCTGTACAGTAGATAAACTGACAGCAATATGGTGCAACAGACCAGTGGTTAAACCTCCAGTCTGTAGTCTCTAAATACACACAAGAACCACTGGTAAGAACCTGGTCTGGGACAGACATGGGCAAACTGTGGCCCGGGGGCCCGATATGGCCCTGTAGGGCTCTCTAATCCTGCCTGCCGTGACTAAATGTGCCTATACTTTGTTTACATTTTAGAACGTCGGTCTTTTTCATCATTCACCTGCCTGTAATCAAACAAAATCTCGGACTTTTATGCCAGTGTAGCTACATGAGTCGATGCTAACGATGAGAAAAGTGGTTAAAACCAGTAACAACTGCATCTGATTGGCCCTCGGCATGCTCACCTCTAACAGTGTTCCCTCTCTATATCCCTGTTCTGCTTTCGCACCCTCAGTGCTGCTGAGAATCAAAGGTCACAGACACAGGTGCAGCTGATTATTATTATTTTTTTTCACTTATTTTTTATTCTATATTTCTTTGGCCTGGGTACGACATGAAAGAAAATTGCAAAGGAAGGACACGGATAAAAGTCCTGTTTTGTTGCTTTATCAAAGTAAACGTCTGTCTGCGTCGATAGCAGGCGTCACAACGATTTTCCGATGCGTTTGTAAAGTATACAGTTATGTACAGAGCATCTATTAAAGGAGCGCAGAGTTCATAAAAGAGTTATTTCTGTATTTCCTGAATTAGAGAGGAGGTGCAGAATAAAGTGGACTGTTAAATGCCAGACATAATTGGAGGACGTGGTTTGTTGCGCACACATTGTCATTCCTGTCTTCTCCCGCTGTTAAATTTTTCATAACTTTTAGATGAGATCCCCCCCCCACCTGTGCCCCATCTTTGCACACACACACACACACACACACACCTTTACCGTCCAAACTGGCTATTGACTTCTTTGCCATTAATTATCTTTTCCATCAACTAAATTATTTAACCCAATTCAGCGCTCATCTTGCCCCACAGTTTCAACACACCTCATTTTATGAATAGACAAATGCTCTGTGAGGACAGTCGTCTCCACACGTCAGTGAGACAAAAACCTTGAGGAAAAATATGGAGAAAGTTTCTCACGTTGGAAAGAGGTGGTGACGAGATTCAAACTTCACCATTATTAGAGTGATTACAACCAGGGATGTCCGATAATGTCGCCCGACCGATATTAGCATACTGTGTAATATCTGTAAGAATCCTTATAGGTTTTTCCTCCGATAATGAAAACCCGATAATCCACGCAATGCCTGGGTTTCGCCAAATGATGTGTGCCCTAAAAAATTTTTTTGGGGATAAACGGCTGCATATCAAAGTGAAAGTCACTAGATGGCAGCATTGCAGCTCATTTAATTAATCTCATGCTCATACAGTGGTTTGTACAGATAAATAAATAAATATCACCAAGCCCATATCGGTATCAGTTGATATCGGAATCGGAAATTAAGTGTTTGGACAATATCGGGAAAAAAGTTAATATCGGACATCTCAAATTACAACGCTTTTCATATCGGACATCTCAAATTACAACGCTTTTCTTCTTTTAGTTGCTTTTATGCTTATTGTATAGAATAGATATCAAAGTAAAAGTACATGAACTGATTTTCCATGGGAACCGACTGGTGCCTTTGACAATTCTGAAGTAAGAATTAAATCTCGACCCAGCGGGCGGTCGTCTCAGCTGAGCGTTCACCAGCATGACTGTGTCCAGAGGAAACAAACATCCGTCTGGAGCTGATTAACACTGTTACCCACGTGTGAGCAATCGCTCGTTACCAGCAAACTGAACACTAATCACTGTGTTATTACCTGACATGGACATTTAACACGTTAACATTTAACTAACAATTAGGGCTTTTTAATTAGATTAAAAAAAAAACAACTGTGCAGGATTACAGTATCCCAGTAAACCTCCCCTCCCTCACAAAAATATATCATTTATTTTACATAACATTGTGTTAGTCTAACTGGAACTGGACTCATCAGCACCGTTTGAAATGCCTATGTCAAATGACATTGAGATTATTATTATTGTGGCTGTGTGATCCAATGGTAAAAGAACATGTATTGCTGCAAGTGTACTGTATGAAAGAGAGAACGGGGAGAAAGTTTGTTTTTGTAAATGTATCGCATTGTGTCAGACCTGTATGAATAATGTTGATGAATGGGAGCTGAGAACGAGAGATCCTGGAGAGAGAGCTCACTGCAGCCACGGACAGGAAAGGGACAAGTAAGGTGACAGAGTGGGAAAAGAGATGGATGGATGGATGGATGGATGGATGGATGGATGGATGGTCACAGGAGAATGGACCAGGAAAGATGAGTAAAGCAGTAACATCCTCTCAACTCATTTTGACCAGTACAATCACACCGTAATAAATTACAAGTACATGAGATATTTATTATTATTATTATGAAGTGTTTGTGTATATTTTTTTTTTTCAAAATTCATCATTCTATTATTTTGGCCAGCGAGCCGTATGTTTGACAACCCCGCTCTGGGGTATGAGGAAAGGGGATGTTGCCATGTAATCAGACTGATGTCCGTAGAAAAGCAAATCCAAGGAATGTGTACCTTCAAAAAAAAAAAATAATAAAATAAACCAACCCTGACAGTTGAAAGAATCCCCTCCACACCTACTGTCCTATAACTCTTTAAAAGATTGGTGTCGAAGACGGCGACCTTTTCAATGGATATATAATTCACCTCCAATATGTACTCTGCCCTTTACAGCTGTGAGCACAGTCCGTGTATGAATATTTATAGCTGGACAATAATGGTCGGAACTGGGTTTGGTCATTGGGTCAGTTAGGTACACACACACCCACACACTGTACTGAGGTTCGTCACCGCAGTAGCATTTCGTCTCATTATGCCTCGGTGGCATCGTGTTGATTTGACCTCCTGGAGGATGAAGCCGCCGGACGCAGCGGACTCCTGTTACAGCCCACTGAGATTTTTCCGAAATGTGATTCAGCCTTAACAATCAGAGGTGTGAAGTTTAGCAGGGAGAGTGAACAATACGTGAAGAAAGGTTAATTTGGAAGGTGCTGACTGGTGTGGAGTTTGACAAAGGTTTCACGTGGGTTTTTACTTTTTTTTTTCCCCCCCGTGTGTAAAATTACCCTGAGAATTTGAAACTAGCATGAAAAGCTAGTTACGGCGTTAACGTCAGGTGTGTGTCGTATAATTACCATCTAGGAGCTGGGTTGCTAAATAAATAAATCAGTTAAAGGCTGAGGTGATGACAGGCTTGGACTAAATTAGAGGCAAAATTGTCTCCGCTCCCGTGGTAAAGTGCGATGAGGCTACTGTGAAAAGTGTGAGCTGTTAATTACAATATGTTAGACAGGG